ATTTTTCTCATTGATCTGATAAATCAAAAAACTTTCGTATGAAATCTATTTCTATATTTTAAATCTCAAAACCTGAAAGCTTCAAAACTTCTAATTTTAAGTGTTTTTAATTTATTTAAAAAATTTTTTAAATTTAATCACAAAACCGCTCAATGAACTGTCAACTTCAAAATTTTTAAACCATAATAAATACAAAAATTATCTTTTTTATTTATAAATTATTTTTTGAGTTTAGTAATCTAAACACATTCAAATTTTGCGAACATTTTAAAATTCATTCCCGAAATGTTAAATATTTTTGGTAAAATTATTTAAATGTTTACGACAGATTTTACGTACACAGACTTTTATCACTTATTTCTATAAATAAATTATGCAAACAATTCGAATCAAAAATCAAAAATCAAAAAAATTGGTAAGCAAACTGTTTGTCAAAGTGAGCAAAAAGCAAAAATACTTGATAAAATGTCGTGAAAAACAAATTTTTCACGCATTGTCATAAGTTGCTGTGATAAGTCAACTGATTCTGCTAATCGAATCAGAAAAATAACAATTGATGAGAAGTTTTACGTAATTATTGTTGTTATCAATGAGTAGCTGTCTTATCACGTGGAATGATTGGGATAATTTTTGAATTTATCATATAAATTGTATTTTTTTGATTACGTGAACAGCAATTTTTAATTTGACAAACAGTTTGCTTAATAATCTTAGCTTTATTTTTTATATTTAATTTAAAAATTGTTTTTTGTATTGATCTAAATTTAATTCGTTTAATACAAATTATTTCCACTAATAATAATTAGAAATATTTCAAATTAAAATGTTATAACAGAAATATGTATATAATACTTACAAAATATAAAGTCTCTAGAAATATTTCAAATTAAATTGTATATATTACTTATATTAAATTTTTCGTTCGAAAACTTCAATACACTAAGATTAAGCTTAATTTTTAAGATTTATCTTAGTATCCGAAGAGCTAACTTTATTACCCAAAATATAAATATATTAGATTTGTACTTAAAATTATGCGCAAATCCCCTCCCTCGGAAAAAAAAAAAAAGCTTTTAGTGTATTTTATAGCTAAACAGATCCTCAAGATCAAATATTCAGTACAAATATCAAGTATTTAATTTCAAATTTTTAATTTTATAGCACAGTGTTAGCTAGTGTAAGTATATGTCAATCTACATTTGCTCCATATACATACTTTTGGTAATTTTTAATTAAAAAAATACATTACTTATTCATAAAAACTAAAGTATTAAATATTTATTATGTGAATTAATTAAAATTGCAGCTTAATACTTACTTACAAACAGTTTAGTTCAGCAGATAAAATATTTATTGAATTCACTGCTATAATTATATTTTTTGATAAGATTTATTAATTTTTGTGCAAATAAATTTGCTGTTTGCAATGTGAAAATTTTTTTTATTGCCTTCGTCGATGTTGTATTGAATTCTGTTGTAAATATTTTTTATTATAAAAGTCTTTTGCTTCAAATATTAATCTTTGAATTTAATTATGCAGAAAAACTTCGCCTCTAATAAAAATAAAATAATAAAATATTTTAAATAAGTTTTATTGCAGAACGTTTCTGACTTAAATAAAATTTTTTACATCAAAAATTTTTGTTATCTAGAAAGTCTTAACATTTTTGGGTATAATTTTTTGCACTAATTTTAAAATAATAATTGCATTGCTTCAGATTTGGGTTTAAAATTTGATTTCAACAAATAGTGGTGCAAAGATGTGAATAGAAGAATTACAGTTATAAAATTACAATAAATTACAGGTAATAATTTTTTAGATATTTTCAAAAATTCTTTTTAATTTTTTTCAAACTTTTTTTAAAAAAATATTCAAATATGAATTTTGAATGTTTATTCATATCATGTAGGAAATTTTTTCAAAGATTTTGTCTCTTCATTGGTTTCAATTTTGGGCATTGAAAATTTATATTTTAAGTATTCTTTTTTCAATTTAGGAGGTAATAATAACTTTAATTGTGCAAAGAATGTGTCTGAAAAATTCTTTTAAAGCATTCGCATTTTTTAATTATAAAAATGTTATTACAGCAGAATGAGTGTTCAGTTTAACTAATTTTCATAAAATTATTCGATTTAAAAAATTAACTAGTAATTACTTTAATAGTCGATGATTTATTGAATTATTAATTTTTTTTAAATCGAATAATTTTATCAAAATTAGTTAAATACAAATTGTGAAAATATTTATGACTGAAAGAACTGCGGTTATTTATTTATTCTCAACAAAATCCAAAAATTAAAAAACGTAACAAAAAATAAAAACGTGACCTTTTCATGATCATTAAAGGTGAAGTTTATTTAATGTAGTTTTATTTAAGTTAAAAGATAAAGTGTTTTTTTTTAAATCATCGTTTTTGTAGATTGATGAATTGTTCGAATTTGATTTATTCCAAAGTACTCAATTAAAATAGCGATCAATAAGCTCTAAATAATAAAAAATATAGTGATTTTTTATCCTTAAAAAAGAAAAATAATTAAATATTTCAAATTATTATTGTTCTGAGCACTAATAATAGTAGTACACAACGCATGACAAATAATATGTGATTTATCATTTTAAATGCAAAAATGTCGAAGTTAATCTAAGATCGAAAAATTAGTTTCCAAAGAAAATACATATTTTGTTAAACTTCAAAGAATATATTAAAGAGATCCACTTAAAAATATGCAAAAATTGGAATTAAAATACTAAATGAGTATTAAATCATTACAAAAATTGTTTCAAAATGTTAAATTATTATTTTCTTATTTTTAGGACTATTTTTTGGAGCGAAAAACAAAATTTGAAGCAACGAAAAGATTTTTTAAATGTATTGAAAAGTCCGAAAATCTTAAAAATTAAAAAAAACTGCTGGTATTTGTAATTCATATTGCGATAATTTAGTAGTATGCATTATAAATACTTTCAACCTATGCTTTTCTGCCTGCAACAAGTTGTTAAAGTTACTATTACTTGCAAATTAGAAATTTTGTTTGATGAAATTTTATTATAAACTTTTTTTGTTATTGTAAAGTTTTCAGAATACTGTAAATGTAATATTGAGATTAATAAAATATTCAATTTTTCATTGTTGCAGCTATGATTTCTGTATAATTTTACTGTAATTGATAGTTTTTGTAAATATTGGAGTTTTGTGCAGTTACTCATTTATTGTTCGAAAATTACCTTTTTTTAAGGAACAGAAAAAAATAAAAATTTAAATGTTTTATGCTAATTTCTCTTGTGTGCAATTTAAATACCCATAAAAAGATGGACTTAATGTGCGATAAAAGATTATGCCTATTTTAATTTACTGTGACCAAAGTTTTGAGTTATATGCAAATTTTTAAACTTATGTTAATAGTAATTATGCATAAATATTAATATCATTTTTATTGTTATGCAAATTATCATTTTTATCACTGCTTTATTGTGTTAAAAATATCAGTATGAGCTGAAAACGTAGTGAAAGACTAATTTTTTTTCTCGTTGAAAATAATAAGTCCTAAACGAACAAATAGTGGATAAATTGGACTGATCTTAGAAATAATTTTTTCATCTTGATCTTTTGATCGTTTGCATATTAAAATTCAAATTTAAGGTCAAGTCATGGCGCTATAGTCTGAATACAAAAGGTTACAAGTAATATGCAACATAGCTTTACAGTAATACACATTAATATCACGTGGAACATTAAAAATTAGCATAATTGCTACACAATAGTTGTTTTTGTTGTTTCCTGAGTGAAATATAAACTTTTTTATTATTTATTTCCGTGAAATTTTATGAATTTTTTGAATGTGAGATAAAATATCACTCAGGTTTTCTCTCTTAACTCAAATATAGTTATGATCTCACATCTCTCTGCAATAATTTGCATAATATATTATTTGCTATATTTGTCAACTTGTGTGGTTTTTCTCAAACATTGTGGACAATTAGCAAATGTCATAGTTCATATTTTTGTGAAAAGAATCAGCAGCACACTTTTTTAAATATGAACTTAAAATTTAGTCTCAGTCTAGAAGCTAACTGATTTGTTTTAAAACTTAATTTTAACTTGCATACTGAATATCCACTTTCTTCAAAAATCATACCAATAAATTTTACTGTTCTTTGCAAGGTAAATTCTGTGAAGAAAGATAAAGTTAATATAGAAACCATAAACAAAATCTATATAGTTATAACATAACTAAGATACTACAGTAATGACGATTATATTTCAATGATATATATTTGGAAAAAAGATTTGTTCTATGCTTTTCGTGCAGCGCTAAAATTAAGATTTCATTCTACTCGTAAAAAATACTTCATCTTATTTACTGTATTTATTTGTATTTAATTGCTTATTTACTGTACTTATTTGTATTTAATTGCTTAATTACAGTAGTAATAGTTGCATTAAGAAATACCGTGTAATTAGGTAAGAATATTCTCTAGTAGATACTGTATATGCTATTTCACAAACAGAGATTGTATTTTAATATATTTTATTTTAAATAAAAGCACGCAAAATAATGTTTTATCTCAAATGCACAAAGGCATTATTGATTCCAAGAAAAATAATAAAATATATATTTGTAGCAAAGTTTAATATTTTTCAAAAATCAAACAAATATAATAATTCCAATTTTTAATGTAATTTTCAACTAAGTTCACTATTAATTTCTGATTTGATTTTCTTTAAAATCGTTATTTTTTATTGACTGATAAATTTTTTGGCAAAAGACAAAAAATATAGAAATAATTTATCGTATCAGTAATTTTAAAATTGTAAAATTTATGACAAATATAAAAACTTGCTTTGATACAACTTATTTGTTCTGATCCAACAAAGGTATATTATTGGAATAAATAAAGCTATCATTTAATACTTTTTATCAAAGTATAATTAGCACAGTTAAAATATTCTATTCTATTTAGAACTATATTTGGAACGATAATGTTTGCCACCCAAACTAAAACTAAAACATTTTGGCCCACAAATCCAATTTTTATGATATCCACTAAATGGAAATGGCGAACATAAAAAACTGTACATCACTGATGCTTGAGGTGGATAGCCATAAATTAATGAATGACCGTAATTTGGTACTGTATTTGTGATTCTACCATTATAGTTTACTGGACAGGCATGCGCATACCGATAACAACCATAGCTTGATGAGAATATCTATAATAAGAATCATTTTAGATGTAGAAGCATAACATAACTTTTGTATTTTTTCGAATTACAGTAACTCATTTTATCAGAGTAAAAAGTTAACAAAATGCTCATCAAAATTTTGAATATTTTACATTTTTTTTACCTTCATACGTTATCAGTACACGTATACGTTACTTAAGTTATTGAAAAACATATGCCGAAAAAAAAATCTATTCTTCCACGCCAAAAAACTCACTCATTTTATCAATTTAAAAAATATATATATATAATTGTGTATAGGCAATCACACTTAGGATTATTTTTTAATTAAATTTGACAAACATTTGAAAAAGGTGCGATTCTCGAATAGAATAACTGATGCGAAAATGGTTCACGTAACTTTGTCGCTTCTTGACTCTCATAGTACGTTGGTGGTGGTAGACGTGAAAAATTAAGTGATCTTAAAGGTAACTGCCGTAATGGAGTGACATCCTAAAATATGCAAAATTTTTGTAGTTACAAATTTTTTGTTTGCTCTGTTTCATTGAGAAATTTTCTTGCAAAGTAATTAATTACCTTTTATTTATTTTACGTTATTTGTTAACTATTGGGGCATATATACTTATTTTATTTTTCCACTTAAAATGGTATTTAATTTCAGGCAGGAAAAGTATTTTAAGTAAGTATTTAATTTCAGTTTTTGAAAAGAGCCCATCACTTTGCTTGAAAAATGTGCATTTTTAATGAAAATAAGAATAAAAGCCTAAAATTTGCATACGAATGAGACAGAAGGCGATTTCGATGGATGAACAAGCGAATGATTTCGAATTGTGTACATTTTTAAGCGATTTTTGCCATTATGCAAAAGTTGGCGTAATTCTTCATCCGTTGCTACGATTGTCTAAAAGTCATTACTCACTTATACTTAAAAATAAGCTGAAAATAATTAAAACTTTGTAAGATAAAAATTAAAATTGAATGATATTTATGTAAGTTTTAAGTAATTAAATGTTTCATTATTTATTGCTGTTATATATCCATTACTATTTTAAAATTTTAACGTCAATGGCATCTGCGCGAGACTGCTTGCTAATGCTAATAGCTTTAGTATTATTTATATATTTCAAATTTTAATAAGCACTAACTTAAAAAAATCAAAGTTCTGTAATTTTTTTTTTTGAGAGGGAAGAAAAATCTGGAATTTGGATCAAGTAATATTCTTATAAAATTATAGTTCAAGTAATAATAAAAATATTTATATCAAACTTACAATAATTCAAAATGCAAAAAAAATTTACCTTATCACCATGATTATCATAACTTGCCAATATACCATCAAAATCTGGACACTGTTCTCGAATTTTTTGCAACAAAATCTGGAATTTGGATGAAGTAATATTCTTTTAAAATTATACTTCATGTAATAAGAAAAATATTTATATCAAACTATTAAGTGTAAGTTAATTAATCACTAACTAAATTTCGCTAACTGACTTTAATTCTGATATTTTGATT